TTACGATCCAAAACTGTTGACCAACAAAGAGAACCAGCAAAAAAAGTCCAATAAATAATGTGGCATATAAACAACCAATTTTATGGGACAGAGGCTGAGCAGTTTTTTATTCTCAATTAATTAATTTCTATTTCTTTTATTCCAAGGGAAGGGTGCAATTAAGTGCCACATAAAAATTTTGAATGAAAACAGAACACTTCTGAGGAAAACAGCGTGCTGCAATGCACAAGTTGAGAATTAAAGAGAAATTACTAAGAAATTTAACCAAAAGATAGATACGACTATGTATTACTCAAATACAGATTTTACCCTTTTTTTCACTCCGCGCATTAACAGATAATATGTGGGATTAGCTTTACCTAGCTGAGACAACACAGCCGACATATACGCATCAAGTGCATCGCCAGCTTCAGCCACCTCATTTGGCTCTGCTGCTTCACCGTCCTCGAGGAGCAACTTCTCCATATCTTGTATTTGCTTCGTAAGGGCATCCTTCTTATCAAGAAGAGAATCAGCTGTTTCGACTGATTGGTTTCACCAGGCTTGTGCTTTGAGGACTTCTTTGTTCGATCGTAGAACTCGTCATCGTCACCACAGATTACGGACATAGTAAACGCACAAAAATTCTACAGAAAAACGTAAGGGCATTTAAATGTTCGCACTAAATATTCACTACAGTATTGTCTACCAGTTGACAAACACACACACACACAAATAGCGACTATGCTTCCCAACCCAGAATGCAAGAATTGTACACTTCACAAAAAGGCTGACATAGAATGACATCAATTAAAACTTAGTAATCAATCTCCAACTTTTAATGGAAATATTATGATACCTCAAATAATCTTGTTCATCATCGTCCATAGCGCCCTTCTTACCATGGGACAACTTCCCTCTTGCACCTAAACTTTCCAGAATACTTTCATTCAGCGTCTCTTCCAAGTTCTCAAGCTCTTCAATTATCTACGAAAATGTGAGTGTTAGAATTGCCACGTAATGAAATGCTGAAGATATTAAAATAGTAACTGACAAATCCTAGTAGACTGTCACGCTTCAAATGCATTCTCCAAATCATGGCAGTTTCCATAAATGTATCTTGACACAGGTAGATACAAGTCATTTCTTAAACCTATTGATTGATTATATAAAGTCCCATTCTCAAATGAGTTGACTGAATAACCTCCATTCTCAATTATCCACCTAGAAAAGAGGTGCAGGGCGAAAACACAAGAGGTTCAGGAAGAAGCAAGAAGCATCACAATTTAATAGGTTTCTTTCATGTTAATCATTGTAATGTGATGTTACCTGTATTTCCCAGTAATGAAGTGCAAGGTATACACACACAATTCTGAGGGTTCAGCAAGAAAGGATCAAGAAAATGATGGGATCATCATATGAGATATCCTAATCTATAGGATATTTACAATAACAATCATATACCTGTGACATCCGTTGCTCATTTCTAGCAATCTGAGTTTGTCGCCCTTGTGTCAAGCGACCTTAAGCAATATCCTTCGCCCGTATTGCGTAAAATCTCTTTCTTCATGTGAGCAATCTACAGATGATGAGAAATTCAGTACTCTACACATTATGAAATGCTTACACATAATGGAGTATGACCCAAAAGAACTAAAATTGAAAATTCCTGCTACATCTATCAGAGAACTAATAAATAAACTTGCAGCTGTAAGTTGCGACAAGTTAAGCCGACAACAACGATAGATATTATATTCCCATATCTATTTTACTCTGCACCATATTTTTATCCAATAAAATGAAACAAATATGGTAAATAAAGATATAGGAAGAGAGTACTTGAATCGAATCGGGGCAGCGTAGATAGATGAAGGGCCCGACGACCCACCACGGCATCACGACCACCACATCCAATCCATTTTTCTCCCCAAATTCCAGAGGCAATATCTCGGTCGCCGTATTCGTCACCACATAAGCCTCTGCAAACATCCGTAGCGACCTCAGCAACTCCCCGTCGGCCAAACGGCGGCGGGGGCGCCAGGTCGAGCTGAAGAATTAACGGCGCCGCACGCCTGCAGAATGGCCCGGGTCCCGATGGTGACGCACCGGGCCTTCACCTACTCGCTCTCTCTCTCCTCGAAGTCCACCGCCGCGGCCACATGGAAGACGCCGTCGCAGCTGTCGACAGCTGCGGCAAAGGTGTCAGAACAATATCAGATTGTTATTTCAAATCTTT